TGATCTTCTGATGACATCCAACGGTTTTTCGTTGGAATTCATAGGAATCCGACACTGAGGATCCGATGTCGATTACTTGCCCCGGCATCCAACGATAATTGTGTAAGATCTGACAGGATCCGATAAAATCCTATTGGATTCGAGTCGGATCGGATGGGTTCCGATAGGTGCCTACTGTAGGATTGCTCGACCTGGGTGCTAGGCCGGAAGTTTTGAACAGCATCTCATTTGAAAGACAAAACAAAACTACAAATAAGCGTTTAATGAAGATACTAGTTATATTCCGAAAAAAAATTTAGAAAAGAAAAACATCGTATTTTTGCTAAATGCATTTTTTTATTAATATAGGAAAGCTAAAGATATAAGAGTTCCACATTTCAGTCCCAAAGAGGCTGCGCTAATAAGCTTTTCTTTCTATATGTAAAACATTGCATATTTTCTCTCAAGTTAAATCTGGATATAATTTCGATCATAAATAATATCGGTATACCTAACCCGGTTTCTTTTCTATGATAAATCGTCTGGTCATTTTTCTGTGTACTAGCTTTTTTAACATACAAGTTTATCGTGAAAACAAATTGCATAAAAATTACATCTATTATTTAAAGAAGAATTTTAATCATTCGATATGAGATATAAAACATCACAAATATTTTGATAAATCTACTTTATGATGAGCTGAAAGTCTTTCCACTTTGGAATAATTGATTCGCGTTGCATCCCTTGTCAAATTCTGTGTTACACGTTGCAATATGTCATAATCGATTATTAAGTGAATATTATTTGGTAAACACGTTTTTGTATCCAATAAGAATTGTTCAGCATAATCATCATGAATAGAAAGAAGATGAAGCTTAGCAAGATAAGAATATTCAATAAGTGCAACATGTCGATTACTATCGTCTGATTTTTGCTGTTGAGCTTCCATATTCGTTATAGTTAAGTCTTGCAGAAATGGAAATGCTTGAGCAATACGAATAAAAAATTCATGTTCAAAAGGGCGTTCATCAAATATTTCGACTATTTTCACACAATTGAATAATCCACCAGGAAAATTATTAGTAAGATTTTCATAATATATCGGTGTATATGGATATGAGTAAATATGACATTGTCCAATTTGCTCTTTTGGAAAATAATCAACACAAGAGATAATTTTATGATTGTCAAACTTTATGAATGAACGTTGAACATCGTCGCTTGATGGTAAATATGCTAGATTATTAATGAAAATGATTGAACGAATATTAAATATAAATTCGTTTAAGTGTGGCATATGACTGATAATACTTTTCATCAAATAATTACCATCAATAAATGCTTCATTGTAATCGATCACAAGATATAGAGCCAGCTTTTCTAGATTTGACATTCGCTGAAGATTTGGCTTAATGACCTCATTATAAACAAATGTTTTATTATCACATGTTAATGAAAAACATCTTAAATCAGACAATTCATTCTAAAACAAAACATGTCAACAATCAGCAGATTGAATAATATTGAATTTTCAATTAAAAAAAAATCTCTTCGTCTTATGATGTAGTTTACCTTTTGGTTAATGGATGATTGAAGAGGTAAAATATGAAAGGCTTTAATTGACAATGACCGTAGTTGATGCAGACGACCATCAAGTAGATAAAGACAATCATCGAAATAATACACATTAATATGCAATTCTACCAGTGTTGAAGAAAGAAATTCGGGACATTGGTGATTAAATGATATATATGTTGTTCCAATATTTGATTGATAGAATTTTAAATAAAGAAGATTGGTGAACATAATGAAGATATGGGAAAAGAGTTTTCCTCGCATATTTATTGGATATACATCGTGTATGGATTTCCTGCCGCTGATAGACAATGTCTTAATTTGATTTTGAAAGATGTGAGCTAGAGGAGATTCATCTAAATATAAATATAAGATTACTAAACAAAGCGTATACATTTTTTCGTTCTCAATCATTTATAACTTCCTTGATAACAAGAATAAATCTATTTACATTCTTATATTCGAATCATTTATATCATAATCAGTGTTTTATCTAGCATGAAGGCGGAAACGACGATGCCTCTCTCAAGATCGATCTAACCTTCTCAAAATGCAAGACTGTTATGCCGAAAGTAATTTTTCATCCTTTCGAAGTGTGAGAACGCCATACTGGAAGAGAATACTCGGTTAAAATACTGATCATAATCTACCTTTGTATTTTGAGAAATTTTGACATCCAAAAACGAATTTTTTTTATTGTTCTTAAAATATATGATTAAAAGTTAGATGCTAAATTTCATAATATACTATATATATATATATATTCAGATTAAAATACATGATGAGCAGTTATTAAAATGGTTAGTCGTATTGTATTCCAAAAACTTTCTTTCCATCAGTAGAAATCATATATGATTTATTATAAGACAATGAAAATATCTAAAGAATCATTGTAATATCGTCAATTTTTAGTTTCTTATGAATTAATAATTAAAATAGTGAGTATTCTTACTATTAAAGAGATTTATATCAGTTTCCTGATCCATAATAAGAATATCAAGTCGATTTAAATTCGGATAATTAGCAGCAAGAAGAATACGTTCCATAGATAATGTTTCGAGTTTGAACCATTTGACTTTATAACAAATTTGAGGTAATATGTGTAAACAGAATCGATGAAGTACTAAATCCGATAACGAAGATGTAAGAACACGCGATGAATTATATTTGATTAATGCAAGTTGAGTAGTAAAATAGGGATCACGTGCAATTTGATCGAGTCGGTTATTGACACCTATTAAGGAATAAAGTAAGTCCATATTGTGCAAATTGCTTAAAATAATCATAAGTATTTCATCAGGTAAGTACATCAACGGAGAGAATAAATGTTCCATGTTTGTCTTGATTTTGAATTTTCTTCTTTGACAATAAAGAGCAATAATTGTATATCTTCTTCTCTCATTTCTCTTCGACGACCGATCGCGTCAACGAAAACAATGACACAGTTTTCGTCAGACAAGATCGACTATACTTTTTCTGTTTTTCTTTATTTAACCAACAATTTTCTATAATGATCATATGCAAAATAATCTTATTTATAATATAAGGGGGCAAACACACCAGAAAAAGTGAATTAACTTACTGTTGAATTACGAAATGTGATTGGTTAATTCAGCATTAAGTTAATTCAGCTTTTCTGCTGTGCTTGACCCCTAATACATATAGTGACATAAGACAAGTGTTGATTGTCTCGGTTAAATAACAATGCTTTCAAGTGTGCTAAAAGAAGTGTTCGTAGGAGAAATTGTTGTCTACTATCCAACACAGTCATAAATGAGGAGTTAACGTGCTACAACGACCACTTTTTTTTTCAATGCATTTTTATTTTCAGGAAATGTCGGAATTTTCGTGTTTCAGCAGTTTAGATAATTTAGACTCCAGCAGTGTTCTAATGAGCCAAAAACACAAACGTTTTGACACGCTAATAAAATAACTGCATTAAAGCACAAAAATTCGGACATTTTTCATACATTTCAAAGTTAAACCCATTAATAGTTCGGCATGGTTAAGCAAGTGGTCCACCGTATATACGCTATACAATTAAGCTGGTGTTCCTTTTCATGTATATAGTGTTCCACCGCTAATTGAAATATACATATACTAGAGGCCCCTGTGAAGGGTTGAACTTTAATATTAAGAGAAAAATTGATTTAATTTAAATAAGAAAAGTTCCTGAACTGGAAAAGCTTGTAAAATATAATAAAGATATTTGCTTTCGTTCTGTAACCAATCATATGAAAGTTCCCGAAGAACTAAAAAACACTTGTACAATATAATATGGATAACAAACAAAATGGCATCACTTGTTCAAGTTCATATTGATAAATTAAGTGTAACAAAAACAACATGGGGAGAACAATGTAGCAATGCTATAAATATTAATGGTGGAGATTTAGAAACAGCTAAAAAGCTTCATATTGAAATATTTGAGTCATTTGTGTATTCTATGAAAAATAAACTCTTTAGATGAGAAACAGTGACGGACTTAGGAAAGAGGTGCTGGTAGCAGTCACTTCTATTCCAAAAAACAAATTGCCGATTTCTTCCAACAGAAAAAGTCCAAAAATTAGCCGATGCTATTAATCATAGACTTCAAAACACGTTTTTTCATAATGATTGCTCCTATTTCTCTTCGAACCATTCCCATCATAAAAATCCTAGATCCACCACTGATGAGAAGATATTTCAATCTATCAAAGTGTCAATTTGAATAGTAGTCTATAATTTCGAAGATGATCAATATACATACTTCTATAGTTATTTTAACAAAAAACGTTTGACAGAATTAATAATGAAAAAGGACATATTTGTATTAGAATTGAAACAAAAATTTAGTCCAACATATTCTGTCTGTCTGGATTTAGTCAAACTAGAATCGAAAACGATAGGAAGGATAATGTATGAGATTCAAATGCTTTATTGATAAACATTTTGAACTGGTTTATTTTTGTAATTGATGCATACAAGTGACTAAAAATATCAACTAAGAGATATCCAATGGATTTACTCAGGTGGGTCCCGAGCAGCCGGTCGACGGTCACCCTCTCCGAATCTTAGGAAATTGTCTTTTTTTTGCTTGATGATTTACAAGATTTTCAAAATATTGTTTGAAAAAATAATTTTGATGAATAAAATAGAATTCAGTATTTATTATTGTCAAATATATACGACTATGAAGACTTTATCAAAAAAGTGATTAAAACAGCTTCAACCTAATCGGACACATTTACTACTGTAGCTTATTTGACTTCAATTAGAACATTGTAAATAAAATTTTCCTTTTCTTTTCGATATGTCATCTATTCCTTCATAATTAAGTGATGTGTATCAAAATAGATTCTCTCTTCCAACCAATGCAACTACGAAAAAAATTAGCTGAAATTTGTGTTTCTCTCAATCAAGACAACCACTTGTGTTACATTCGACGATTCTTAATGAATCTATACTATACTATTTAATTAAAAATGTATTACTTCATCATGTCTGTAAAGGTTTTTTTTTATCTAATGGGATATAAATACTTAGTTTAGTTTCACAATATGAGTCGAAGTTGGATTACGTTTACACAAATATACATTTATAATGCATTAATACATCTGTCTATATTCTGTTGTTCATCAGTGAAAATTCTAAGAAAAACACTGATGAATGTACACCATTAGGTACTATTTCGATATACTTATGAACACAGAAAACCAGCTTGAACATTTACATTCTATTACAAATTAATATTTGAATATACATATTCAATAGTAATCGTAACTTGAGAATTATCGTAAAATTGATATTTCTTTTTATTTTCTTAGAGACCTTTTTTTAGCAAAAAGATCTGTAAGCATATAAAACGACTATATGCTTTTTTTCTAAAGTATTACATGACTACCAAGGAGAGATCTACAGCCGACGAGGGATTGCAACCGCAGCCTCTTTTCCATGATCGTACGCATTTCAAAAACTCATTGATCCATTTCTAATGACTATGATTCAATCAGCTTGCATTGTAATAGACATGTTGACTTTTCTTTACTGAGCATGAATGACGTCGTCTATTGTCTTGTGAATGAACCAGAGATCCGCGAGTCAGTCAAAAGCACAACTCGCCACCGCCTCGTCATGCTGGCGAGTTGAATATCCCTGCCTCGTCTCGCCTCGCCTCGCCTCGCCTCGCCTCGCCTAGTATCTATCTTAAAAAGATGTTTTTAGGTAGCTTCTCAGCCACCTACAACAATTACTATCTTTTATTTCTTTATATCTCATTAAGTACAATTAATACACATAAATACATTGAGAAAAAAAACAAAGTACAAAATTACAAAAATGAAATGGCTGGATTAGAACGAATAGATAAATACATATTTAGAGCAGGATTGAAATTATAATTTTACCTGTTCAGAACTAGAATTTCAAAACAGACCAGGGTCTTTTTCGGGGAGCATTGAAATCCTGATTTTGCCGGAAAAAAATTAGCATTCGACTAGAGATAAATTCATATAGTCGTGTGTTTTGCTCAACCCTCGTGTTCGTTTTTCTTTTTGAATTCATTTAGAGTATTTTTTTCAATTATTCTTTAACTGCTTTTTAATTATCTTCTTCTTATATTTTTATCCTCTGTGAATGCTTACTTATTGCTTATTATATGTTTTTATTAATGCAGAGCCCTGATAAGTGTTTAATTATTAAATAAATAACACGAAACGCGCCGACGAAATATTAACTCTGCATTATTATTTTTATTTCTTTTAAATTTAAACATAATTTTTATTTTATTTTCGACTGCTACATCGGTTGCTGAAAAGCAAAAGTTGAGTATAGCAGATTGATTTGTTTTCTTCGTTAAGATAAATAGATCGATCTGTTTTTGAAAACATTTACGGCTTTTGCCATAGCGTTCTTCGGAACTTCGATAGCGGCAGGTTCATATCTTCCAATTTCATTTCCGTTGCCATCGTACTTGATTTTTGCACAACGGCAAGACATTGCTGCTTGTGGATAATAAGGATATCCTGTCTGCATATTGAACTCGGCTGAGGATTCGATATTGAAATGTAGTCCAATGGCTACGTCTGAATAAGCGTCAATAGGTGAAGTTCTCCAAACTCCTGAGATATAAAATCTTAATCTAAGAGGTCCGTCAGCTGTAGTCATGGTTAGATCTTTCCCTCCTTGAAAGCCTCGAATCCCGTTATTTGGATAACTGCCAATTTTATATCTGCTATTGTCGAAAACAAA